GGAACGATACGAATCTCAACGCAAGCAGACGGACAGCAACACCATGTCAACCGATGATGTTGATGCGCTCTTTGACGACGACAGCGCATCGGAAATCACCGAAATGGCTGCTGGTGTATCTCTGAATTCGCCACTTGACCGATCGACTCAGAGCATGCCCCCATCCCCGGCCCGTAACGGTGGACTGAGCCAAGCACCAGCCCGAACACAGTCCGAGTCAAAGATCGCAAGACCATCTGGTGATATTCCAGAGCACAACTTGACCGACAAGGAGAAGTACCTCAGCTACTTCAAGCTTCGGGAGGAGGGAGGTGAATACATTCAAGATGTGACTGAAATGACTCGAGTGCCTGTCATTTTGAAGACTGACCTGACCAAGAGTCCACCGTAAGTGATGTGGAAACCCTCAGCTGCGCCCTACGGCTACTGACCTTTTGCCTAGATGCTTGACTATCCGATCCATGAATCCATATGCATTGTAATTAATGCATAATTATCACGTAATTACCCTCAGGAGGAACAGATCAACACCAACTAGATGGGATAGGTCTTTATTACAGAATGGACAGGTCTATGAGATCCGAAACATCAACAACAAGGCGGCAGATATTGCAGACAGCAAATCTTGCATCGATTAACTTGGAGCTGCATTTGGTAGCTGGAGACGCAGACAGACGGCGACCAGTGGGACTTGAGGAAGGCAGAGAGCGATGACGGCAGAATGCAAAGCAACCCTTTGGGGCGATGGGACCGAGAAGAGAGACTGAGTCTGGAGTCTGAGGCTGGACCTGAACATCGATTAAGAAAATATCCAGCATGTCCGAGTATCAGAAGAGCACGGAAAAACATCAGTCAAGGATCTGAGCGACCGGGTTGTCCGAGGAAAGAGCACGCGAACGAGGTGAGAAAAGGGCCCAGATCGTGTGTGTCTTTGTTGAAATCAGAGTGCTTATCGAGCGTAGTATGAACACAAAAAAGTTTTTCTATGTTGATATTTTCTTCTGGTCGTCTGAATCGTCAATTCGTGTGTCTCTATGCAAGTATCGTGAGTGCGCTGCGACTGATACATTTCCACCTCGTCGAGAATGTCGCTGAAGACTTGTCCCCAAACAGACAAAACCTCAGCACATACTATCTACGTGGCCAGGTAACAATGACTGCCCGAACCAAAGCCCTCTCGAGGAGCGTAGTGTAATAATATGAAGTGCCTCCAAATCCTGGTTCATCTTGCACTTGTCACTCCTGCTCCGTGGCCACGGGGCTGTGTGTCATGCGGTGCACGGCATGCAATCTATCGTGACTGGCTCACGCAAGACGCCCTCTTCTTCCCAGCAAACATAGAACGTCGGTGGTGTGGGACCTCATACGCCTTTGGTGATGCGCTCAAAGACACCGACTCCGTATCGGCCCAAGGCCGACGCGCAGGCGACCGCCTCTGCACCGACCTTCCTCATCCTCTCCGCGCCGTCCTTGTCTTCCACGCCTCCGACGCCGATGATCATGATGCCCTTGGTAGAAGGGTCCCGGTCGAGTAGTTTCCGAAACGTGGCAACGTTCCCCAATGCCAGAGGATGAAGTGCTGCTCCCGCCAAACCGCCCAGTCCGCTGCCCGCCTCGTTGCTGAGTGCTGGGTCGAGGTTCGAGTTGAGGAGAAGGCTGTTGCCCAGGGTATTTGTACATGTAATGAAGTCGATCACTGAACCTTCTCCAGGCTCGGAAGATTTCGCATTGCGCAGAGAGTCCACGGCCATTTCGAATTGGCCGGTATATGTGTACGGTGGAAGCTTGATCCCGACTTTAGGCACTGAATCAGGCGTGGCCATTCGTCCGCGATAGGTGGATTTCGAATCGCTTATTGCCTCGAGGTACTCATCCAATTGTTTCTTGTCGTATGCTGGTGGTGGAGCAGATGCGATATTGGGGCATGAGAGGTTGACCTCCATGGCGAGACGGAGATCTTCGTCCATTTCCGCAGCGTTGGCGATGAGAGCGTAGGCCATGGCGATCTCATCTGGGGTCCCCGTCACGGACAGAATGAACGGTTTCTTGGTCGGCGTGTCAGTACCCAGGTGGCGCTGGCCAACAATTTCATTGATAATGCCAAGGTACTCGGAGAGAGTGAGCGGGGAGTAACCCAGCGTGTTGAGGGTCGATACAGGTTCTGACGAGTCGGAAGAAGATGGTTTCGAAGCCTCGCCTTTCGGAGCGTCGCCGGGGATGGTCTTGCCGGGTGTGAAGAAGATGTATTGATGGACGGAGTCGTCGTGAGTAAAGCCTTCGAGCAAGGAGGTTCGAATTGTCACGGCGCCTGTGTAGGGGGTGTCGTAGAGGGCTTTGATATCTTCGAGAGTCGTGGCCCATGGACAGGCGGAATTGAGGAGTGGTGGGTTGATCACCAATTTTTTGGCCGCCATGATTGAAGGATTTCCACAACTTTGCTCACTGAAGAGACGAGAGACAAGGAGACCAGCAGCCTCGTAGTATATCCTTCTCTTTCTATTTCTTTAGGTGTTTTGCTGCCTCTCTATCCCGGACGAACGCGCTCGACTGCGCGGCTTACCGCTTTCTCAAATTTACTCTTGAGCCGACCGGAAAAGGCTCGAGGCCGTGGCGACACTCGTTGTCAGACTTGGGGTGTGTATCTTGAAGAGGTGATGCGAAGATAGGAGGAAAGATGCGCAGTCGAGGACCAGTTTGCTCTTGTCACACGGCCAGAGCGATCGACATTGTACGAAAAACGCCCAACTCTGCCCTTCCTGCGGTCTCGTGGGGTAGAGAAGGGGTGAATGGGTCAAGGCAGACGCACAGAACCCACAGACAAGAAAGAAAAAGCCAGCCAGCCAATGCTGCTATAATTATACCCGCCGCAGCAGCAGAATCATGATCATACGTGTGCCGCCTTCCTGGCGAGCTGGCTATGGAGAAAAATGAGGTGCGTGGCTGACTGGGCGACTCCGGATCTAGCACCAACCAGCAAATCATGAGGCCGCAAATGTCTCGGATCTGTGATAACATGTCTTGCAGGGCTGTCTACCGAAGGGGTCTGCGAGTACCGAGTAATACCAGACAAGTCAAGTCTGTGCCGTGTGTGGGTCGAGAATGCTCGTCACTCGTCTTCGTGCGTTTTTCGTCTATCATCAGGTTTACGTCGAGGGTAAAATGCCATCGCTCTAAAGACAAGTCCAACAAATCCGTGCCAGGCAGGAATCAAAACCTTGAACTCTACCTCAACAACAGGCAAGCCAAGGCTAGAATTCCCTTTCGGACAGTCTCGAAATCTCTTGACCTGGTCTGTGTCGCTGGCCGGAAGAGGTGCATCCCCATGCCCTTGAATGTTTCCTTCTTACAGCTTCTGCATAGCCACAACATCGGTAGACTGAACATGATCTTCATCCTCTTCGATCTTCTGCTGCAGTTCATCCAGAGAGACCTTCTCGTCCTCGATAACCAAGTTGACCTGCAGCTTCTTGATACCGAAGCCAACAGCGACCAGTTTATGACCACCCCAAACAAGACCATCCTGCTCGATAGCCAACACATTTTTCACAAGCTCGTCCATGTCCGTCTCATCATCCCAAGGCTTCACATCGAGCGTGACAATTGACTTTGCGGCGGGCTTGGTCTTGCCCTCCTTCTTCTTCTTGTACTCTGCCAGTCTCTTCTCGCGTTCAGCCACGACCTCTGGATCTTCCTCTTCTTCGTCAGAGCCGAATAGGTCAACCTCATCGTCGTCATCCTCGGCCTTTTCGGGGGCGTCCTTGGGGTTTTGGGTTACAGCAACAGCCTCGGGGCCGTAGGTGGTGAAGGGCTTGGATGGGTCGCCAGGCAGCGTAGAGAAGTCAGCCTCGTAGGACTTGACGTGGTTGTACCAGCGGTAGGCATGAGGGTAGCGTTCGACGGGAGGTGCCTCTTTAAGAGCCTTGAAGCTCACGACGTCGGCTTGAGATGGCTGGAACCTGCGGAGATAGAGTTAGCGACCACGTCGAGCTTGATATCTTCTTGGACAAGTTGTGTTTGTTTCTAACAAAACTCAGAATGCAAATGCATGCGATTGGAAGTAGTCATTTTGCGGTGTCTTAAGCCGCCTCATCAACACGGACCAATTGTTTCTCATCTTGGAAGGCAAAAATCAGGGGGGTTGAGGCTGAAGAAAGAAATCACGTACCCAGAAATGTATGAACGGGTTTTGAGCCAGTTGTTCAGGACTGTCATTGAGTCAGTGGCATGGTTTGGAGAGGGGTTCAAACGGGGGCCATGGAACAAGACATACGTGTGAGGCCACCGTCGGAGACGAAGTCGGTGAAACCCATCTTGACTGATGATTTGGATGCTTTCAGATTATTTGAGAGTGGCCTAAGGGTCTAGTGTGGTGGTGTTGGAGTGGTATGGGAGGGCGCAGTCAAAAATGAATCTTTGATCGATGCCCAAATTCAAAAAAATCCATGAGTCCGCCATGCCAAGAACGGATAATGCCAGCCTCGCCGCTTTTAGGAAACAGCGACACCTAATACATACTATTAACCAATGTAGGATTTCGCCAGAGGCACAGCAAATCAAATGACAGTGTCTGACAGCGAGTTGAGGCTGCATCCTAACGACGACCATCGGCGAACCCCCTAAAGCCTCCTGTCACGCCATGTCGCTTCCATATCCTGGTCCTAGAAGAAAGAATGATATCCAACATGTAGGGAAAAGGCGAGAATGCCACCAGCTTCTGATCCGATCCAATCCTCTGAGCCGGCGTGGTTTGCCTGCCGTCTCCCTTTTCACGCTGTCCTCTCCTTCACCACGAGGTGAGCAACCAGCCCCAGCAACGACTCATCCCGATCTTCTCGCAAAGAGCCTTGTGTTGCCATCTCCAGTCCTTGATTTGGCACGTTTTCGAACAACATTGAGCCACCTTACACCCGTCGCACTTCAGCACTTTCTGGTGTTCCTGAGACGGATCTGTCACATCCCCAGCAACCCTCCACTCCCGGGTTGGAATCGCCTCCTCTGTCTTAGGCCGTGCTCCATGGATGAATCTCTTCGATGACCTTCTCCACCATAGGTACAGAGAAACTAGGAGAAATGGCCATGCGAACACAGTGCTTTGCCAGATGTGTCCATCCAGGCACGTCTGGCTTGTAACCCTGTGGAAACTTCCCCAACCCGCACGAGCAGACTATGTTCCCGTCGACCTTCGGAGTAGGCACGGTAGAGGTACCCTGTGCTGCGTATTCACACATTGCAGTGTGCTCCCAATCACGACAGCGCTCGACAAAAGCTGCTACGGCATTCTCCCAAAGTGTGCGGGTCGTACTATCAACTTCGTACGTAGTGCCAGCCTTCTGGATCTGAGCAAGGATCTTTTGTGCCTTGCGAGTTCCAAGCTCTGCTGTTGAAGGTAGCATTGCAGCGTCCAGAACAATGCTGAGATTTGCCAGATCCAGCCGTAGCGACGAAATCACAACCGTCATGAGCGGGACTTTTTCTCCATCGTACAGCACGTTAAACGTACTCAGGGGCTTCTTGCCACCCAGCCCAGGGTAACGGCTGAATATATGTAGAAGCATCTGCTTGAACTTAAGACGTAAGTTATCAGACAAACCATTTGGTCCGGTATGTCTGCGCATCATCTCCTTTTCTTTCATTGAAAGCATTGAGGATAAATAGTGTTCCATCCAGATGAGTTTGGAAGCATCTGAAGTATCCACGATGGGAAGATGCTCCAAATGTAGATACCCCAGATTCTCGAGGATTGGTTTGCCGCAAACAAGAGTCATCGGATAGAGAGTACCAGGATGGTTCGACAGAGCATCTGGAGCTGCGATTCGTGCAATGAACTCAACATACAAGGATTTTCGAGCAATCCTCGTCCTGGAACCGGACGTGATCAACGCAACTGGTAGTCGAACCCGCTGACGATACGCCAGTGAACCTGAGCTGATGTTGAGCTCGAGGTTGAAAGCAGACAACTGCTTGAACTCGACATCGCCATTTGACTGAAGCAGAGCCTCTGCATCTGTGGAGGTCAGGTCGATATGCAGATTGAGTTTCTTCGCCCTTGTTGCCTCCCCATCAAATATCATGTGGAGCGTCACATTTCCGGTACCGGTCTCTGCCGCATGTTGCCACATGGGCTCGCCAGGAAGAGACGGACATGGCATTCGTCCTTTCAAATTTGGGGGGTTTTCTGTGATGAAAACACTCTGGTCACTCAAAGTGGCCCGATAGGCCTCGATGGACCTGACAGGGCGACCAGTGAGGATGCTTTCCATGGCCGCTATGGCCTGAGAGTCCCCGTGGACCTTGGCAATGAACTGAACGGCCACCGTCGAGTGATTGAGATCGACCAACATGCATGAAGGTACAAGCGCCGAAACAATCAATGGGCAGCATCCCTCGGCCCCCTGCTCGTCCGTCTCCATATCCACCGCATAACTCGATGTGCCTTTAGTTCCTGACGTTCGGACAACGCCAAACCCAATCTGCACATCCCCAAAACGAGATTCGCGACCGGTACTGGGAAGCCGTACAGAAAGTTCGAAGAGTGGCCATGCATTTGGCTTGCCGGTAAATATGAATGGCGCCCAGCTCGCATGCGGAACAGCAACGGTGAGGCAAGCGGCTGATGAATTTTCGAGCCAGCTCCGGCAGGGACTCAGTGTCATGGTTTCGGCATTCTCATTGTTGTCGCTGTCCGTGGTTATAGTGCACACCCGAAGCTCCTGCAGGGAGAGATCCAATGACTCTGTATACTGTGAGTTCATCGCGGTATGGGTCGAGTCGTTGTGCAACGAGACGCGAAGACGCTCCATAAAGACTGGGAAATCGACAAAGTTGGCGCCTTTTATCAAACCCAAAATCGTGGCCAGAACAGAGCGTGTGTACTGTGGGAACTGAATTAGTGCTAATCTGTTGGCGGCCGTGTTTGATGTTTGAGTCCCTGAGGACTCGTGTTCAAACATGCGCAAACACATTTTAAACACAAAACGAGCAAGGTGGTCGGAATCAAATCTGAGCCTCGCGACATTGACGTTCTTCCACGCAATGACGAAGCGAGCTTGACCGCCTTCACCGGCTTCGGTAGACCTCGCCATAGACTCCGGGTAATGCGAAAGGCCCGTTGTGTTCGTCCAGTATTGGATGGGGCTGAGGCCGAAGAGTAGCGATACAGTAACGATCTCGCCACACAATAGCCCTCGAGTATAATCTTCGAGACTCTGGTCGCGCAGTTGCAAAAGTTCCATGTAGATGGTGGAGGTTATTCCGGGTTTGAGCAGAGGTCTGCAGGCTGCTAGGATGTTCAAGGAACCCAAATGATCGACAAGATTGGATGTTTCAATCACGTCGAACTTGTGCTGACCAGATGAGCTCGAATCGTATTCCACGGGGTCAAGGACAAGTTGTTCGTACAGCAGCCTATCTCGATATTGAAAGGCACCCTCGCTGTTCTTGTGGGCGGCATGATGTTGTAACACGTGGCAGAATGTTCCAGCATCAGAAGCTGTGAACCGTATCTTCAGGCGATCTTTGACTCGTCGAAAGGTTTCGGCCCATGCTTGGAACTGTCTTGCTGCAGCTTGGGCTGGACGCTTGATATCGACTGATGCCGATGACTTGGGATCGAGGGGAGAATCTCCCTTGAGTGGAGCGTATGCAGTGGCCAAGTGGAAGGATTGTAGGGGTTCCATCGATGCATAGACCAAGGAAATACCATGCATAGTCGAAAATGTTGGGTTCAGGCATTTGGATTCGCCCGTGAGTTTGGCATCACCGCAAGCCACCCCCGTCACCCAGTAGTCGTGCAGAAGCGATACCATATCGTCCAAAACCAATTCTGAGCATGGGGCCGCCGAACGAAGAGTCGAGATATTGAAACCTCCTCCCATAAGTCGTCGATGGGAGTTTACGGCTTTACAGGCGGTGTGTTTCAATCGCTTTTGCTGTTCCTCGAAAGCAGATCCGTCCGTGTCATCAAGGGCGTACCATTTCCACAACTTGACCGCACGATCAAAGCTTCCTTGATCGCAGAAACGAAGCCCCTGGCCGTATGTCTGTTGACGCCAATTCTCGATTGTTGTGCCCATGTCCACTAACTTCCGCGCTTGCTTCTGTAACAGGTGCAGCGAGTCTTGATCCAACTTCCAGTGATAGTAGATGTTCCAGATTCGACTGGTGTCCGCGCCGTCCACATCGTCGATGAGGAGTGTGTAAAGGAGGATATTTCGAGCTACCATTTCATTAGCTTGGACTCTCATGCGGGAGGCTCACCAGACCAATGATTTCGGCATCGACATCACAGCACGTAATGTCAAAGTGACTTTGATCTGACTCGGTTAGTATGAGCCATCCACAGACAATGTGCGCGTTGTCTTTTGACCAACAAAGCTGGCCACTGTAGAGTACAAACCTGATGAGGGTCGGGAGTATAGCGAGAAGAGCAGGTTTCGAGCATCACCGCAGCCGAGTAGCAACACCGCGGCGTCCTGGCCAGGCGGTATAGCTTCCAACACATCAACAGGAGGTGTGTTGCCCACTGGGTAGAAGCCCGACATGGTCGGGGTCACAGCCCGTCCTAACATTGTGGGCGTCGTGTGGGGAGATGAAAGCAGAAGAACGGATGAAGACGAAGAAGATGGGAGAGGCGTGGTGAGTGAGTGGAGGCTTTAGTAGCCGTCAGAGGAGATGATGGATGAGATGCTGGAGGAGTGAGACTCATGTGAAAAGATTCTGCCCGAGAAGTGAATTCGAAGACGCAACCTACCATGCAACACCACTTACTTCACTGTACAGGTTGAACCACGGATCGAGCAAAAGTATGGGAGATTATGTCAAGTTCTTCATTTCCATGTTCATATCGGTCGTCAAGTCATTTCTCACCTTCTCGGCGTCACTTATCATCGTGATCCCCCTTTTCGATACCCATGAGTTGCAACTAGATTTGATCGGTGTTGCACTCTACAAGTTCCCTCCACCTTGGATCTGCGCCCAGTCTTTACACAATCAAGACAGAGACCAGGCTCAGCATCCATCAAAGTTGATAGGTCCTTTGTAAGCTTTCTCTTCATTGAACCGTCTCGAGAAGCCGCGAGTTCGCAGCGGGAATATGAGCCATTTGTGCAAGACGACTCTCCTGCAAGGCTGTTTGGCAGGTTCGAGACTTTCTCGACGACTTTGAGTAGACTCAGGTGCTCGAAGCCTTCTTCGTAGGGTGCAATCGCTTCCTTTCGCAAGGTAGAGAGATACTTTGTCACTCCCTCGGACGAAGCTCGACAGGAACAGTTCAAGAGGCGCGAGACGGGTTGCATGATGATTTTCTCCATCTTGCGGTTGATCTCGATTCTCCTGGTATTGAGCACATCTGCGCATGTAAGCATTCCAGCATTGCAAAGTGCGTTACATCTTCTACCAACCCAGTAGAGAGCTAGGGACGGTGGGGTGGTCTGTGAGACCGGGTAATACGTCAAATTGCCCGGCTTGTGACTGCATCAACCTCCACGAGATATCCGAAAATGCGGTGGGCAGGTCCAGAAGATAAGCAACCAGCAGCTGTCTATTCAGCTGCGCCGCGACGTAAGTGTCTGAAAGGCTCTGCAGCCAGAGTGCCGCACAGTGTCTCATGGCAACGGTACATTGGTATTTGTCACAGACCAGGGCCAGCTTCTCCAAGGAGTCAATTTCCAGCTCCTGTGGGATCTGATCGAGCTGAAAATGGATGACTCTACAGACAAGTTTGAAAGCATCGAGGTCATCATCAGGCAGAGGGACGACGCGAAGGTTATCCTCTGTATTCCGGACAGTCCCTTCTCTGAAACCTGGCCTGAGCATAGCAGCGAACACCGGAGAAGCGAGAGAGAGAACTTTGGACGAGGTTCGGAGGCGTTCATTCTCAATCTCGATGACGAGATCGCCAATGGGGTCGATGTCAATACAAGTAGTCGCCATGATCCTTGGCAATTCGGTGGAGAGATGGGTATTCCAAAGTAGGTGCTTTCAGGCCGGGACGTTAGGCAAGGCGAGTCTCAAGTAGTCGGCTCAAGCCAATCATAATAGACTATGTAGATCGGCTATCTGCGGTCAAGGCTAGATCGTAAATGGAATAGACTGGGACTGATGAACTATTCCCCATTCGGAAGTATCTGGGTGCGGAATCATTCGATGTGGCTCGAGGCTTCCAGAAAGACAAGGCCATGCTCGGCCGGAAAATATTTACCACTCTATTCTTTGGCAGTGCGGTCAACATGTTTCTTTCTGTCCTTGATCACAGATAACACTACTAAACTGCATATCAAATAAAGACAATCATGAACGCCGCAAGGTCGACGCTCGTTCGACGAGCTGTGCCTTCGCGAGTACTGCCGTCACCTTTACTCCGTCGAAGAGCTGCTCCCTCCATATTATCCAATACCAGTTATGCGGTACTTCCTCGCTCCGTACTCCCAGCTACCACCTTCGTTCGCACCTACGCCAATGGCCGACCTCACCCACCCGGCGGGACTCATCGCATGAATATGGGAGGCGAACCCGAGAAACCTGCATTAGAAGAATACGGGGTTGACCTGACTGCCCGAGCAAAAGACGGGAAGCTAGACCCGGTCATCGGAAGAGATGGAGAGATTCACCGAACAATACAGATCCTGTCACGGCGGACAAAAAACAATCCTGTCTTGATCGGCGCAGCTGGAACCGGAAAGACCGCAATCCTCGAAGGTCTCGCACAGAGGATAGTAAGAGGAGACGTACCCGAGAGCATCAAAAATAAGAGGGTTATTTCTTTGGACCTTGGTCAATTGATAGCTGGTGCAAAGTTCAGAGGCGACTTTGAGGAAAGGTTGAAGAGGGTCTTGAAAGAGGTACAAGAGGCACATGGAGGGGTCATCCTTTTTATCGACGAATTGCACACCCTGCTCGGTCTGGGAAAGGCTGAGGGCTCAATTGATGCGAGCAACCTCCTAAAACCGGCCTTGTCACGCGGTGAACTCCAATGCTGTGGTGCCACCACCCTCAATGAATACCGTCAAATCGAGAAGGATGTGGCACTCGCACGCCGATTCCAACCGATCCTGGTTGGCGAGCCTTCAGTCCAGGACACCATCTCCATCTTGCGTGGTATCAAAGATCGCTACGAAGTCCATCATGGCGTACGCATTACAGATGGTGCTCTTGTTGCTGCCGCAACGTACAGCAATCGGTATATCACTGATAGATTTCTCCCCGACAAAGCTATCGATCTCGTGGATGAAGCAGCCTCGGCTTTGCGCTTACAACAAGAGTCCAAACCTGACGCCATCCAGAAGCTGGATCGCGAGATCATGACCATTCAAATCGAGCTCGAGTCTCTGCGTAAGGAGACCGACATCGCCTCCAAGGAGCGTCGACAGAAGCTTGAGGAGACACTCGCAGAGAAGAAGAAAGAGGTAGATCGTCTGACTGAGATTTGGGATCGCGAAAAAGCAGAAATCGAAGCCATCAAGCGAACTAAGGAAGAACTGGAAAGGGCTCGACAGGAACTGGAGCTAGCCAGACGCGCTGGCAACTTTGCTCGCGCTGGTGAACTTCAATATGCGACCATCCCCAAACTCGAATCCCAACTGCCAAAGGAAGGCGAAGAAGTTACCTCGACGACGAAGAACGGAGAGACCCTCATTCATGACTCGGTAACTGCCGATGATATCGCCAACGTCGTCAGCCGGACAACAGGAATTCCAGTCAACAAACTCATGGCTGGGGAGGTCGAAAAGCTCGTAAAGATGGAAGACAAACTGAGAGAGCACGTTCGTGGCCAAGATGAAGCGCTTACTGCGGTGGCCAATGCGGTCCGCATGCAACGAGCAGGTCTTAATGGCGAAAACCGTCCGCTCGGAAGCTTCATGTTCCTCGGCCCTACCGGAGTAGGGAAAACAGAACTCTGCAAACAGATTGCAAACTTCCTCTTCAGCACAGAGACCGCCGTGGTTCGATTTGACATGTCGGAATTCCAGGAGAAGCACACAGTCTCGCGACTCATTGGCGCCACCGCAGGCTACGTGGGGTACGAGGATGCAGGGCAGCTAACAGAGGCCGTCCGACGCAAGCCGTATGCAGTCCTCCTGTTCGACGAGTTTGAAAAGGCCCACCGTGACATTTCAAGTTTGCTGCTGCAAGTACTCGACGAAGGATTCCTCACAGACAGTCAAGGCCACAAAGTCGACTTCCGAAACACCTTGATTGTCTTGACTAGCAATCTTGGTGCAGAGATTCTGATGGGTAGCGGCGCCGATGTGGAGGCTGTGACGCCCGAACAAAAGAAGGGAGTAATGGAAGTTGTGCAAGCCTCCTACCCACCCGAGTTCCTCAACCGGATCGACGAATTCATCATCTTCAACAAGCTATCCAAATCTGCCCTGCGAGACATTGTGGACATCCGGATCCGCGAACTTCAAGGGCGCCTTGATGATCGCAGGATGAACCTTGACGTTTCACCCGAGGTCAAGGACTGGTTGTGTGAGAAAGGCTATGATCCTCGTTACGGCGCCCGTCCACTCAATCGCCTAATACAGCACGAGATTGGTCGAAAGTTGGCAGACAGGATCATAAGAGGTGAACTGAAGACGGGCGACACTGCAAAAGTCATTGTAGGTAAGAACCGGGAGGCTTTGGAACTGGAAATTCAACCCAAAGCCTGAGGTTTGAAGGCGTACGACGACTTGACTGGCGGCGCCATTTGGCACTGTTTCACCCTCCCAGCTCGAGCTGAAAACGGCCAGCCACCGATCTGATGGAGGACACGATACGATCTAAAAGAACTGTACATGACAGACACGATGGAGGTTTGAACTCCTTGGGGACAAACGGCGGCGCATTTTGTGAAATTTGGTGGCTACGGCGATACCCCACTCGATTCTACATTTACAATTGCATACAAGCAGGTGATGTGGTGGCTAGCATTTTATACATGTGTATGTGTATGTATATGCATTTCCGGTATGCTCGGTATCTGAACGGCTATACCAAAGGCACAAAAAAGGGAATAAATATGTATAGTATTGTTTTGATTAGGAGAACAATCATAGTCAATGATACTCATAATCAACTCTATCATTTTCATTCTATTCTCACCTAATTCTACCTCCTTCTGTTCTTTGTACGTATGTATATATGTGTGTATTTTACCCTGTACGAACCCTTCCTGTCCCTCTCCCTCCCGTTCTGGGTGGACCAGATGATGACAGGGTATCGGATATGGAATACAAATATGGAGTAAGGCAGGGGAAAACGGGAGAGATGGAGAGATAGAGAGGTGGAAGATGGAAGATGTGATGGAAAATGTGATGTTGCTGGGATCCATTCGATCCGAGTTGGACGACATTGCTTCTATTTTCCTCCTTTCTGTGCAGTCTTGATCTGTGAAGGGTATACGGCTAACTATATCTTCGCTAAAGTGCTGTACTTGAACATATCTTAGTACAAGACAGTATGCTCGGAGCGTGTCTCGGTTGTCTTGCTTGACGTCTTCACTTCTGGACAACTATCTCTCGCTGGTCCGCGTGGACTTTACATCCTTGTGCTCGTGCTCGTGCATTCCGACCTTCTTCCTCTTCTTCGTTGTGCTCGTCTCTTCCTCTCGCGGTCGTGGTGTCTGATACTGCCGTCGCCGTTTCTGTCTCCGAAATCCTCCGAAGCCGACTGGCTCGCTTGTACGCCTTGACCTGCCTGTCGGCTTTGCGCACGATGCTCCACTGTAACCTGCTCAGGAGGCCTCTTTTCTTGAGATCTGTACCAGTAGCGTCAACGATGGCGTCTTCGTCGTCTTGCTCATCGTCGTAGACATCGTGCAAAGTCGAGGCCCGTCTGCGCTGCTCCTTGTCCGCGAAGAGCGTGTCGATGGCTTCGAGTGGTTGGCCGCCTGTCTCTGGGTAGAAGAGCCAGACGATGATGGCGTTGGCAAGGTTCAGCACCGCCCAGACGATGTAGAATTTCCAGCCTAGATTCTTGACGCCGTCTGGGATAGAAGGAGAGTCAGTGAAACGAATAGATAACTACGGCGGATACAAGGTCTCCTCTTCCCTTTCAAACTCACCTGGCGTGACCTCGACGACGAGAAAGTTGCCCAGGAAATCTGCGCCCGCGGCCAGGGCGGCGCCTTTGGCTCGGATCTTCAGGGGCAGGATCTCGGGCGGGTAGACCCAGACGGTGGCCATCCAGCCCCACGTGAAGCACGCTTCAAAGGCAAAGACAAAGAACACGGCAGCCACGCCGGCGGAGGTGTTGTGGTAGTTGGCGGCTTCGATGCGGTTGACGGCGATGGCTTCGGCCACCAGAACCAGGCACATGCCCAAGGCCATGGAGATGAAGAGGAGCCGGCGCCCCACGCGGTCGATGGTGTACCAGGTGAGGAACGAGGCGATGATGTACCACAGTTGCAGGAAGCAACCCATCAGGATGGACATCTCCTGGGTCATGTTCAACGACGTGGAGAAGAGCGTCGGTGCGTAGTATGTTACCTGCCAGAGAAAAGGTGTTGTCAGCTATGCAATAGATCATCAACCCCTCCCGAGGGCGCAGCGCACTTACAATGTTAATTCCCGACATCTGCTGCATGAATTGAATCCCCAACGCCAGATAGAATCGCTTGTTGGCCGAAATGCCATTGCTGCGGAATAGGTCTGCCCAGGAGCCCTCCTCCCTCTCCTCGATGGCGATAGCTTCCATGATCTCGTTCTTCTCCGTCTGTACGACCCGGTCCTTTTCGTCCCGTCCCCTGAGTCGCGCGAGAACTGCGAGCCCTTCCTCTGGAGAGCGGTGTCGCATGAGCCAGCGCGGGGTGTCGGGTAACCACGGTGCGACCAGCATGATGTAGATGGCGAAGACCAGCTGGAATGCAAGTGGGAATCGCCACTGCGCACTACTGTGGACAAAGAAGAAGCCGTAGTTGATCCAGTAAGCAATCATCAGCCCACCGAGCATGGTGGAGAGCTGACAGCAGACTTGCCAGCCGCGTTGAGCTGCAGCACTGATTTCCGCCTGGTAGACAGGGGTGACGGATGTGATGTAACCAATGCCTATTCCCGTGCAGATTCGCGAGACCATGAACTGAATCCGTTCGTAGCTGCTAGCCATGAGGATTGTCCCGACAATCAACGCCGAAGTACCCAACAGTAGCGTTCTCTTGCGGCCCAGCTGTTCACCCGTAAAGGCGGCACCGATGGCACCAAACACGGCGCCCACATCGTATAGCGCCGTCATTGTGCCCACCATGAGCGAGCTCGGATGATCCATTTGTGCCAGCCAGTACTTGGATATCACCACGCCGGACATGACGCCCTGGTCGTACCCGAACAAGAGAAAGCCCGACGAGCATACTGAAGTGATGGCGGCAATGAGCCATCCACCAACAAGGCGGTTCGTTCCCTTCATCACCGACATTTTGGAGGGAAACGCGGGTCAGAGAGAAGGGCCAGGGGGAGACGAAGCAGAAAGAACCATCATCAGCGATAGCCGAGAGAGCGGTGGACAGCCCACTATATGGTTGCCGGGCATCGGAGTCGAAGTCGAAGCTTTTGGTCAAGCATTGCAAGCATTGCGAAGCAACTTAGCGAGGAAGAATTGCGACCTGCCGTATTTGGGACATGATTGACGTTGGTGACATTGATTCGCACAATGACGTGTCGACGACGGGGTTGATGGGCCAGTAACGTGGGACGATAATAGAGAGAGATGGATCGACAGCGGGGACGGCATCGAGGGGGTCACAGGGCGGGATGGGGCACGGTGGATGTTGTTTGTGGTGGTGGTGAAGCATGAATGATAAAGGATCTAGTGTGAAGATCATTCTTCCTCCTCGTTGCCTGCGGAGAACAGCCCGACGGCAATCGGCAACTAACAGGCGCCCAACAGGGAAATATTCTAACGCTTCCAAGGCATTGGGCACGTACCTCCCCCTCTCGTCCCCTAATACTCCAATACGTTCCCTACGGCTTCCATGCCCTCACAGTACCTCGTATTTGGGGTATTTAGAAAGTACCCTTGACCACCCCGAAAGTTACGGAGATCTCCGTGTATCGCTCAACGGCAATGTCTTCATTGCTTGACTCAAAGCTCCCTCCCGAGAACCCAATTCCGGATCTCGTTTGGTTCCCCCCTGCTTTGCTGCCCCTTTTTCATCCGCAGCCTTGTCAAGATTTCCGCCGAGCCTTGACAATCTCAACAACTCGAACTTGTCATGCCACTCTTTCAACAGTCACTTTAACGTCGGGTATGTCTTGTGCAAATTCATTCTCGCCCTCAGACAGGCTCGTTGGGCGAAAGACGTCGAAAGGCATCGCAACTCTTGGAACCTCTCACCCCAAACATGCTTACCTCCCTACCATTGCTCTGTCCCTCTCTGCGTCACTTTTGTCTCCATGATCAACGTGTTAGCTCAGATGCTCGTACTGCTATTCTCTTTGTTAGTACGAGACGAGACACTAGTGCATACGTAGATTAATTCCATGACATGAACATATAGATTGGTTGGACCATGTTGGAAATGCAAGTCTCGCGGAACGTCCGACTGGCGGCTACGAGCAGCCATGAATAGGATTTTGGTACAAAAGAACTGGTGACAATTACGGGAATAGACATGTAGGTGCCTGACTATGACAACATGTCCGTGTCTGGTATCATGAGAGGCATTGGCTCAGGAACGGGTTGAGTAACCGTGCGTGATACGCCAGAGGGGAGGCTCCGCCGATTCGCTGCTTGTTTCTGGTCTGGAAACGAGCCGCCATGAAAGTCTCTGCGCTTTTGCCCAGACTGACCCGGCCATCATTGGCGAGTAGCCTGGAAAGGGGTTGAACTGGTGAAGGTCACAAGAGAATCGATGGTTGCGAGTCTCCACGTCGAGGCGCAGACAAGTCCCCGCTGACGTCATCGGTTCGTTCGTCAATTAGCCACGTGAACACGCGACGCGTCGAGTTGGAATCGCGCAGCGACGTCAATCTATCGAGATCCAGCCTTCATTGCTAAGGTATTGGGGGATCAGTATCTCTGCTCCTGTTCCCAAACTACTGGCAAACTACTGAGCAGTGTGTTTGACTCCTTCCACCTGTCTTCATGGCATCGCATGAGCAACAAACTCCCACAGCACATTCCATGGACAAATCTTCCATCGGCACCAAGTACCGCCAGATCAGCTCCCTCCGGATTCTAATTCTACTCGTTATGTGCCCGACCGTCTCACAAGCTGGTAGGCTTGTCATCCGATGACTGTTCAATGAAATTGCATCCCCATGTCGTGATCGCAGGTTGTGGTTACACAAGCCCCAGGGAATGCCGCGGTACTCCTCTCAAGTTGCACATGCGTATCAGGCACCGTCGTGCGTTGATCTCGTTGGTGGAACAAGATGCCCCTATCTGAAGATGGCGCCATCACCTTCGAGACGCCATATACAACTGCTTGGATCTTTGTTTGACTTACTTTGTAATGATCCGTAACAGGCAATCCAGAAGCCATTGTCGCTCTCTAAAATGGGGTCCTACGACGAACGCATAGACCTGTCGACGGCCGACATCATCAATATCCAGTCAGACGCCGAGAAAATCGAGTTGTTCAAAGACACTGCCGAATCATTGAAAGCCCAATCGCCGAGCCTCCCGTCATTGTTGTTGTGGGACGAACAAGGCTTGAAGTTCTTCGAGGCCGTTACCTACACGACCGAGTACTACCTGACGAACTGTGAGATTGAGCTCTTGAAAAAACACAGCCATCAGATAGCGCAGAGGATTGAATCCGGTGCCATTATTGTCGAGTTGGGGAGTGGGTGTCTTCGAAAGACAAAGATTCTTCTGCAAGCGGTAGACGACTTGAGAAAGCCCGTCGACTACTACGCCCTGGATCTGTCACGGTCAGAGCTCGAACGGACTCTACAAGAGGTGTCTCCAGGTACCTTTCAGCACGTCCGATGCCATGGACTATTGGGCACCTATGACGATGGATTGACGTGGCTGCAGCAACCAGAAATCGCTTCCAGGCCAAAAGTTGTGCTTTCTCTGGGTTCGACCCTCGGGAGCTTTACCCGGGCAGAAGCTGCCGACTTCTTCGCGGGGTTCGCCAAAGCTATAGATCATTGCGTCAATGGCACAACCCGCAGTGAAGCTCTGATGATCATCGGTGTGGACGGTTGCAAAAAAGGCGAACAGGTATGGTCTGCCTACAACGATGCAGAATCCCGGAACGACCAATTTATCAAAAACGCATTGGAATACGCGAACCGGATCCTGGGGAAGGACATCTTCCATCAGAGTGAGTGGGACCGTCACGGCCAATGGAATGAAACCATTGGTCGACACGAATAATACCTGGTACCTCGGAAGGATATCTGGTTTGAGGGACGTTGTCTCAAGGCTGGTGAAAAGATCTTTGTTGTCGCGAGCCACAAATATGACGACGAGGATCGACAACGACTTTGGCAGGGTGCCGGTCTGACGGTGGTAGAGGGGTGGCAGAATCCCGAAACTCAATACGGTGAGTGGTATTGTGAATTTCATCAGCTTCGGAACTAACAGCGACCAGGACTGTATCTTCTATCCGCGTAAGTCGCGAGAGCAAGATCAGATCTATAAAAAAAAGTCCTCCGGACCTGGGGTAGACCCCAATACACGATATGGGGATTTCATCAGGTTTTACCATCTGTTGGACTTGGGTTCGCCGAAACCTCTTTGCGAGTCGCTAGAGCAGGCAGGACTCTGTTCCACGTGCAGTCACGTCGAGCTCTCTCTTCTCCTTGACATGCGCTGCACGGGCCAAAGGGGCGCAAAAAAAAAAAAAAAAAAAAAAAAAAAGACCGGGCAGCCTTGTCTCTACGTACTCTCGTTTGCTAGGTCTACCTGTATCCCGCAACAAGCCGCGTTTGCTCTAATAATGGCGATGAAGACAATCAATACATACCTCATCCTCGGCGCAGAGGTCCTCGAGGTATAAAAGTCTCTCCTCCGCCCTTGAACTTGGACACCTCGTCATCTCGACATCAATGAAATAATGTAACCTCCTTAAGGCTAGGTAGTATGGCGGCCGCCAAAGTACAGGTTCGTATTTGGTTATAATATCGTAATAATACCCACATACCTATGTACCTACGGGAACACCTATTACGTGCCTACCCAGCAAGGAAGTACATAATTAGGATCAATTCAGAACGGAAAATCCACTCAGCCAAACTATACCCGAAACGGAGTTAATACAGCCAGGGTTGTCACTAAATAGCCCCTTTTTCAGGCCTCGAATAATTGTTAATTAATCCCCATTCGGGATAACACCAATACAGCAACGCAAAGTTTGGCTTTAAAATCAACCGCCGTCACGTCAGGAACATGGAACAAAATAATACCTTTGACAGGAGGGACAAATCATCCCACAGTCCTCACTCACTCACTCACTCACTCACTCACTCACTCACTCACTCACTCACTCACTCACTCACTCACTCACTCACTCACTCACTCACTCACTCACTCACTCACCCACTCACTCAGGCGTTGGTTGTATCTTCGGGAAACTGACTCCTGACTCCTTCGACTACCCAGCGAGCTATGTACTGTAGGTACGAGTAACGTACGACGTAGGTATCTGGCATGATGTGATATAACAAATGACAATGACATGTCCAGAGAAAGAGGGGTCCTATCAGGATAACTACCCATACCAACACACAAAAATGCACTATTACTTATTAATAGTGCTTATCCTTTGCAGCTCCCTCTCAGCCGAAAGACATGTCCGACGCGCGACACGAAACCAAAAAAAAAGGGGGGGGCCATTTGATAAGATCGCCAATGTACGGGGTGAAACCCAGCCCCCAAGCTATTACGGAGTATCTTTCTACATACTTCCTTCCTTCGGGGACCAGCGAGGGAAGATACATACATACGAACATACAAGCCGCGCTGAGTCAGCAGCAACAACAACAACAGCAGCAGCGTTGGGGCGGTCAAGAAGAAAGCGGTGACTATTGCGGACGCCTGAACGGCTGAGGCTCTGTGGACGATTTGTATTTTAGTCAAGGTAATCAATCACTCAATCCCCCGTGCCCTGTCCAACGCCCGAGTCCATCGTGAGTCGTGAGTTCTCGTGTCTTTCTAGCACACAATCTGTTCATGCCGTGATGGCGTCTTCGGATAACGAGGTCGGTCTCCTTGAAAACCTGGCGCAGAGGACACAGACTGCGGCGGCGCAAATCACCAGGTTCCTGAGTGAATCCCACACAAACAGCCAAGTTGGTGATGGACAGCCTGGCTCCTTTGACATCCCGCTCAGCGCACCCCCCGAAATCAATGCGGCAAAAGCGTCGCTGCTCGAATCCACCATGCTGATGCAACAGCTGGTCATGTCCGCCACGGACGTTCAGCAACAAATGACCCTGTACACACAGCAGATGGCGGCGATTCGGTGGATCTGTCGCTTCGACGTTGCGACACACGTCCCCCCCTCTGGGACCGTTTCCTATGAAACCTTGGCCGCCACCGCCCATGTGCCTCAGGGCGAACTCATGCGCATCTCCCGCATGGCAATGACGGCAGGCTTTTTCCAGGAGCCCGTTCAAGGTCGGATCGGACACACACCCACTTCTCGGGATCTTAGTTCCTCGTCCCCCGTGCACGACACTTTCCTCTTCATGAGTGAGACGGGGCACTCGATTGTGAGCAAAATGCCCGAGATGACCGAAGCCAATCTCAAACTTGGTCCCGGGGCGAAACCCAAGACGGCGTTCAATATCGCCATGAACACCGACATGCCGTTTTTCAAGTATATCATGTCAAACCCCACTTTGGCAAAACAACAGGCTGCGCACATGAAGACCATCGTCGCCGCCGAGGAGTCCCATATTCGACATACAGTCAGTGGCTATGATTGGGGCTCCCTCCCGCAGGGGGCAAAGATCGTCGACCTGGGCGGCTCGACAGGCCATGTCAGCATCGCCATTGCACGGGCTGTTCCTCATCTGAAGTTTGTAGTGCAGGATCTCCCACAAGTTCTATCGCAAAGACCATCTGTTCCGGCAGACCTGGGAGATCGAGTCGTGTTCGAAGCACACGACTTCTTCCAGCCACAGCCAGCCAGCTGTCAGGGCGCAGATGTTTTCTTCATCCGACAGTGCTTGCAGAACTGGTCTGATGCCGACGCCACCAAGATCCTGCGGACGCTTCTACCGGCCATGGACAGAGGCAGATCGAGAATCGTGATCATGAGCGTCGTGCTGGCGAGTCCCAGTGACGCGGTAGTCGGACAGCGAGAGAAAGGCATAAGTCGGATGAGAGACCTCTTCATGATGCAAGCCATGGGCGGTGGTGAGAGGGACCTCGCGCAATGGAACGCCATAGTCAACGAGGCCGATCCTGGATTGGACATTGTACGTGTGAACAAGCCACACGGAAGCGTGCTGAGTGTCCTTGATGTCAGATTCAGAAACTGAGTAACGAGCGGATTGATCCGCCAACAAAAGACCCAGCATGGCTGTTGGTTGATCTGTAGAGATGTGTCAAGAACGTTTCACCCTCTCGCCAACCAAACTGAGCCATTTCCAGTCGAGTTCTTTACCTCGTTGCCATGCCAGTACCTTTGTCAACCATGAGGAACCCGTAAGATTTCCAGCGTCGCCATCTGTTCGCCGGGAGTCATGATGGTCCACCACGCGTGTATGTTTCCCCCTTCTCCTCGGACACCTGTGCTGTACTGTTGACATGCTCCTCTGCCGCATCGAACCCTCCAAGGCAGCTTCAATTTTTCGATACAGCTCGGTGTTGTGTCCAAAACTTTTACACACAGCTTCCGACACAGATAGATCGCCATCATGTCGGTATGTTTGGACAAGATAGGGATCAGCTCCTCGTTGCACAAACATATGTACCATTTCCCCCCAGTGTTCAGTCAAGTCAGATCTATGCCTGTAAGCTGTAGAGAGAAATTGGGCCCATACGCTGTGCTTCGAGTTATCTACCATGAGATTAGGATCAAGTCCTCTGTCAAGCAAAAGACGAAATATCTCCTGCGCGAACCCCAGATGTTGTCTCGTGGAGTGCATGCGCGTTATCAAGCCGCCCACTCCACAATCTTCATCCACGAGGTCTGGTCGAAATATTGCCCCGTGCTTGAGCAACAGTATGAGTATCCGAAAATAGTATCCACTCATTAAAGCCAGACTTTCTCCTTCCATGAAAGCAAGGTCAAGAAGGTTATGCAGCATTGGCTTGCCGTTTACCACGCCGTTTGGATCGACACCGTTCTCAAGCAGGAGTTGAGCCATCTCGAACCTAGGCTCCTGGTCTTTAGGTCGCCTGGTAATGAAGGTTATCTCGATTAACGTCCATAAAATTTCTATGCCATGGCCTAAAAATAGATCCGGTTGTCTTTGAAGTCGATCTTTAACATAAGGAACGAAACCAAATTCAATGGTTCTCAGCAGAAACGATCTGTCCTTGCTGTCAACAGGCTCCAGGCTATCTTTATCCGTCGGGCTGCATAAGTGACAAATATCGTTCATTCTGTGGAGTAATGGTGTGCTTGGAGTGCCCAATTCGTCCTCTGCTGCTAAGGCATATTTCATGAAGTTGTTCCACTGACGGGAGCTCAGACTGCCTGGGAAATTCTCGCCTTGTCGAATGAACGCTTCGCATATGCACAGATACGCATTGAAGTTTTGTGCCGAGTAAGAAGCAAGCAGATCCTGCATTTTCTTTGTCACCAGGAAATCGCGGACGGTCCGATGAAGGAAGTCGACACGCTTGACTCCTGGTTCACCGGGGGATTCGGTAGATTCCAGTAGTCCTCTGTAACGACCGTTGAGTTTTCGTCTTATTGTTTCTTCTGCCGCCTGGATCTTGTCGTCAACTTGGACTGATGCTAGACCATTCGTCTCGGGACTCCGTTTGAGAAACTCGTCCCCTTCGTCAATACATGAATAAAGAAGTAGTCGAAAAGGGCCGCCTGTTGCAAGGGCAACACGGAAAGTGTGTGCCATTCTCCTGCGATACACCTTGTCTACTGATTCGATCATTTCTCGAAAAATTCCTCAAGGTCACTCGGCATCTCCAACACCCTCTCGTACAGCAGAGCCAGAGAATCGCCGTTGATAAGGCCGTCCTTGAGAGATCGTGTGACGAGGTAGACCCAGAGGAAAACTCCTTGGGCGCGCGACACAATTTCCGATATCAGCCTCTTGATCTGGGCGACTTCTGTTGTCATCATTGAAAAGTTTGCTACTTCGTCCAGCTTTTCTCTCGCGTAGAGGGCGATGTCGTTTTTTGTAAGGTCTTGTAGGTATAATTTGTTTCGAGGATCCTGGCCAAAGACATCTTCAAAGCAGTTCCACGGCCTGCTAGAAACACAAACTTTGACATTGTCGATTCGAGCGATGTTCTTTATTGTTTTTATGATATCCAATGGATCGCCGTCATATTCGTCTAGACCGTCAACGAAAATGCAGAGTTTTGAAGGGTTTCCATAGCGTGTGGTCAGGCGGCTCAGTCTCCTGAAAGCTTCGTTGAGCTCTAGCATGGTCCATTCGGCTTGAAACCCATGTCGAGATGTTGCCCATCTTTCTAGACAGATGATGGGGATCCATTCGGGAAACGTTTTGAGTATGTCGAACAAAACCTGTCGAAGTAGACCGAGTTGAGACTTTTGCATGTCGCTCCCGGAGATCCAGAAGAAGAATCCGGCGGTAACAAGACGACTGCCATCAGCCCAGGCTTCAAGGCGTTGCAGCGTCTCCGAGCAATTGTAAAGATACTTCATCAAAGTGCTCTTGCCACTACCGGGTTTGCCTGAGACCCAGTAGATACCTTCACCATGGGTTAACCATTCTTGGAATCTTATGCCGGAACGTGGATCGGAAGACGCCCACCGAGAAGGCTCAAAGATCCATTTGAATGTATCCTTGTGCGCTTCAGCAATGGCAGAATACCTCGCAGCCATCCGCTCGAATATCAGACTTTTCAAGATGGTCGTTCCCTTCCGCAAACTTTCTGCTTCGTGATCCGAGCTGCGCAGCCTTTGATCAATACGAGTCAAATGCTCGCCTGTGATGTCCTGCGTACTTTGTACGAGGTTGCGGAGCGATTCAAGTATGGGATCAAGTCTCTGTAGGCTCATTGAGTCGATCTCGAGATATTGCGCTCGAGCATCTTCCAAAGATTGAAGAGCCTGTCCTTGACGCACACTGACGATGCTCAGCATTCAGAAAGAGAGATAGAACTGAGAAGACCGAGGCTTACCTTATGTATGAGAGTACATGAACGGACAAGTTGCTGCGCGCATCCTCGAGCCGCTTTCTTAGTTTGGCAATCTTGTCCTTTTTCCAAAGCGTCTTGAGGGCCTGGAGAAAGCTTCGCCATTTCTTGTGCGAGCCGTCACCGGCGGTGAGGCTTTGGATGGCTGCTAGGAGCTCATCTCCAACAACACGTGAAGCGGCCGCGATCTTGACAATCTCCGCCTCGGTCTGGGAAACAGCTGCCTGTGACTGATCCAGAGGATTCAACAGCGTTGAGCTGAGACGTGAGAGGCTCTCGGCGACGTCCTGGAGCTCAACATTTTCTGTTGTTACTCCGTTTGTAGAATGATATATCTCCTTCGCATCTGAAATGAGCCGCCGGCTGAAATCGATGAATTGCACGATATTTGCGGCCAGGCCGATGGCGGAGAGTGGATCAAGGACCATACCGAAAGAGCGACCGGAGGAGCAACAGGTCGAGAAGGATGATGATGATCAAGGGATCAAGATGAAGACAGAGAAGCAGGATGACTCCAGGTGGGCAAGAAGGAAGGCGTGAGGCTAAAGGTCAAATTCCCCTCCACCTGCGATTTGGCCTGCACGTACACAGCCCACGTCCAGCCTCAGCCTCATTAATGCCCTCAACCTCGTCTGCCTCGTTAGCCTTGGGCATTTGTCCTGGAAACGTGGACCAATCGGCCTGGAGATGAAGCATCAACTAACCTTTTCATTGGGCTGTCAGTTCATGACGAGAGAGAAGACGACGTGGACATCAACCATCGCTGCAAGGCATAAAACGTCCCACGCGACTAGAAAGACATTCAGGTTCAAATCGAAAGGCTTTTCTCCCACGACTGGGGGTAGAATTGAAAACTGTATATGGCAACAACCTTCACAGCCGTCGACCCAACCCTTCCTTATGTACATGATCAATTCTTCTTCCTCTGACCATACGACCGTGTGGCGTAGTCTCCCTGGTAGACAATCAGATCTGCCGGTTCGTAATCATGGGTGCCACTCAGGTAGCTCTGGAGAATCCTCTTGACCCCGTCGGCATAGCGCTTCTGGGCGTCCAGCGAGCTTCCCGACATGTGGGGAACCATGCCGTTACCTCCTCCGAGAGGATTCTTTGCATAGCGAAGCGGGTGGTCTCGTGGCGCGGGCTGGGGGAACCAGACGTCGCCGCCGTATCCGTTCAGGTGGCCGGACTTCAGAGCAGCCGCGATGTCATCGGCCACGACGATTGCGCCGCGGGCAGTGTTGACGATCCATGAGCCTGGGGCATGTCAGTAACTTGGTTCAAAATCTCTTGAGGATGAGGCACAAGAGTGCAGAGATGCAGAGAAACAGCCGATCCCTACCTTTCTTCATCTTCGAGATCAGCTCTTTGTTGAATAGGCCGTAAGTCTTCTCGTGTAGCGGGCAGTTGATGGTGACAATGTCGCACTGGGCCACCATGTCCTCTAGACTCTCCACTCTTCGGCAGCCAATTTCAGCTTCCACATCAGGGTTGAGGGGCTGGTAATCGTAGTAGAGGAGCTCCTTGCAATCGAATGGTTTCAAGCGACGTAGGACACGTTGGCCAATCCTCCCGATCCCAACTGTGCCCACGACCTTACCTTCCAGGTCATACTCGTTCCGTGCGACCTGGGCAACATTCCATTCACCCCGTTCGATCTGTTCGTGTGCCGGAATCCAGTTACGGACCAGGCCGAGCATAGTCATCACTACATGCTCGGCGACCGAGACCACGTTGGAGCCTGTAACCTCTGCGACGGTGATACCGCCGTTGGTCTTATTCGCGGCATTAAGGTCGATGTGGTCTGATCCGACACCAGCAGTTACGGCTAGTTTGAGCTTTTTGGCTTTTTTTAATCGGTCGGCGTTGAGGTAGGCCGGATGGAATCTGAGTTAGCCCGTGGATTAGCACAGGGTAGGGGTTCCGGGAGAGTCAATGTCGTGACCTCGGGGCTCCACATACGGGGTGGTGATCAGGATCTCTGCATCGGGGAGCTCTCTTTCAAAAACCGAGTTCGGGCCCTCCTTGTCAGAGGTGGTAACGAGAGTATGGCCCTGGTTTTCAAGCCATTTCCTGAGACCCAACTCATTCTCGGTCGTCCCTAGCAGTCGTGGTTGCTGTTTGGCATGTTCACCTCCCTAGGGCTGTCAGTATCGTCACGTCCACTTGAATGTCAAGGGGTTTCCTTCTGGAAGTTGTAACACCATGAATGGGGAGGGAGTGGAGGAGAGCTTACATCATATAAAACAGACAGAATCTTCACGTTGCGGTTGGCTGACGCGGAAAAAGATCTGATTGATGATAGGCCTGGTTTTTGACGCAGCAGCCTTGGGCCCGCCTGAGCACACAAGGTTGAAGGTCCTGAGAATCCGGTTCTGACTGCTGCGGTTCGAAGCATTTCCATGGTGGCCCCAGTGGCGCGACACAGTTTTCTCAACGACGGTACAGAATATGTCGTTCACGAAAGAAGGCGAGGAGCTTTCCAGACGTGATGGATAAGAAATGGAATGCTATCCCTCAACCAACAGCAGACGGTGTTGTCTTTAATGGCACAACTCGGTGAAAACACGGACAAGGCTGCATTGACCTTCAACTCGGTGGAGCAATGACATTTTGGGACCTTGTTCTGAAGTTTGGCCAGGTTCCAGATTGCTCAAGGCGTCGAAACGCTATGGGATGAATTGTAACCCGAGATGCCGTAGGAGCCCTGAGCATGTAGGACATAGCGAGATGTGTGAGGTCAACTCGCTCAGAATGTCCTACTTTGGAATGGCCAAAACATGACAGTACAGCCTCTGACTTGTTGTCACACGGTTCGCTTACCGCCCGAATAGGAATAATGTACTTATTTGGACTTGGAGACTCTCTGCAACTCATCCATGTACCGGTAGAGGGTGATAAAAGATCAACCGGCATGCGAAATGTTGCTGAGGTGGTTGAACGTGAGACTGGGAGAAGGATATGACGGGCACCCACGGAAGACTGACCAATAGGCATGGCTAAAGTGCCGATATTGCCGATCGTGCCGATACCACCTATTGGTCAGACTCTGGCATTTGTGGATCATACCAAGATACCTTCTCCACGTTATTTTCGCCCCGCGTCAACTTCCTCCACATCCTCACATCCTCACATCCCCAGAACTGTCGCGGCCAGGAGGAGCCAATACCTGACCTGAGGGAGTACAACTGTTAGCTAACATAGGTATGGGTTTAATTGCTCAAAGTTCATCCCTTTGCACTTTCAGACCACTGAGGAGCTTTGTCCGTGCCCGCTGCTTCGGCAAGTCACTCCCTCTGAGCCGAAACATCCACATCCTTGAACAATAGTCCCATTTGTGTTGCAGGTCCAATACCCCTTCAGGCACTCCTTCAACGGACTCTCTGGACCAGAAATAAGGGCATCCACCAGACGCAGGTGATAATCAACAAGGATACCAGGCCAAACAACCTTTCATGTCAGCACGTCCCACGGCGCCTCGAAATGCCGTTGCCTGTGTTCCCTGCCGAACGGCCAAGTTGAGATGTTCGCACCACAACCAAGCTCCATGTGATCGTTGCCGGTCGGCCGGTCGCGCGGCTTCGTGCTATTTCCCCCAGAAATGGACGTCCGCTCTACATCGGCAGCCGAAGAAGCCGCGCCGTGGGATCCAGCGTCAGGTTGAGCAGCCTCGAAGGTCGGAACACGGCAGACCCAACGCCTCTGCAAGCTTCATTGCGGCCGATGATCAATCGTTCAGGCTAAACCCTACTGAAGACTTGCGTGCCTTCTCCAGGGGCGAGCACCCATCGGACGATCCCCTAAGGTGGTTCACAAACGATGTGCAACAGTGCTACCTGCGATGTACCTACAAGTGGAGTTTTCACCACAAGCCAAGGCTCTTGCAACAGATTCGGGATGGAACACTTGATATGGCAATGGCGTGGGCCATCCTCACTCTGGCTTCCAGGTGCACTCCTTCCGACCGGGACTTGACTCCAGTGGGATCTTGTTAACCCGTCCTTAGGTATTCTCCTACGCCAGGATGCTTTGGCTCACCACTCGAAGCCAGCAATTTCTTTGCCCAGAGAGCATCACGTGCCGTCCAGCTCCGTATCACCTCCCCAAGCCTATCCCAGGTGCAGGCACTTTTGCTGCTCACGGGCCACAAGTGGGGGGCAGGTGACGGGAAGAGTGCATGGATTTATCTCGGCATAGCTGTGCGCATGGTGCAGATGATGGGGCTCTGCGCAGAAATCTCGAACGCGTCTAGTAGTGATTCGTCGGCGTCGGCGTCAGAGGCATTCATCCTGGCCGAGGAACGTCGGCGCACCGCCTGGACATGCTTCCTCATGGAGAGCCTTCTCAGCGGCGGCGGCAGTCGTGCACGTATCCTCCGATCCGAGGACATGACGATTCAGCTTCCCTGCGAAGACGAGGCATTCGTCTTTGGGACACCCGTGCAATGCGAACTGTTCAACGATGCGTACCAGTATTCCAGCGAAGAGCAGCCTGACACAAGGACAAGTCCGTCTATCCTTGCTTACACGGTAAGAGTCGCAGATATATGGGGTCATGTGGCGAAGTGGGCGTCGTGCGGCGACGGCAACCCTGCCGCTCAAAGTCCAGGCAAAAGTGACCGGGAGTCGAGGGCGTACAGCCTCGTCTCGTCGCTTGAGCACTGGAAAGCGACGTTACCGGCCCGGCTACGGTACAGTCTCTTCTCTCTGCAAGCCCACAGCGTGCTCGAACAGGGCCAGGGATTCTGCTACATGCACTGCATATATTTCATGGCCCTGATATTCCTCCACCGGCATCATCTGCCGCACCTGGGCCTGGCGAGAAGCCCAGCACCACCATCACCGGTACCGCCGCCGCGGAACAGTCCAGACCAGGAAGCGGCAGCACTCCCCGACCGTGCGGACCGGTCGTCACACACCCTCTACGACACGGCGTCCACCGTGTGCGACATGTGCGACGAGATCAACCGGGCCGGCGCGGACTTCCGGCGCGGGCTGGTGCCCTGGATCGGCTTTACCGTCTACACCACCATTGGGACCATGCTCTACTTCCAATCCTTCCCGCTCGAGCCGAGCGTCGAGTTTCTCACCAGGACCAGACAGAAGCTGCACAGCGCATACCTGCTCCTCAGGGAGATGAAGAACGAATGGCCCATGGCCAGTCGCTGGGTACGTTTTTACTCGCCCACATTTCTCCCCTGCCCCCCTCCGGCCTTCTTTTCTCCTTTGCAATACCTCACACATGACACTATATGATGTGACGTGATATGACCTGATATGGAAACCCGTGCTCATTATATACTTAAAATGGCTGACCACAATTACCCCGCGTACCGTGTAGCTCGAGAATATATACTCGCTACAAAAGTACCACGCCACCAGGCTACAAAAGACCAGCCTGTCGGCGGAAGAGCTGCAGAGTTTCCGCA